TGAATTTCTTTTTGAATTTTAAACTTACACAGGTTCTCGAAATATCTTCTTGCAATTAGGACTTTAATTAGCCTAGGGATTTGGGAACATCGTAATTTTTGGTTGTAACTGCATGATGCTCCCTACTCGCGCGCACTGTGTTGCATTCTGTCCTTCGCTGTCCCTGCGTGCCTGAATTCTATGCGTAACTGAAATCTCTTCTTGGTGGGTGCAGGTGTAACTGTAATCCTCTTGCGCCTTCTTGCGTACCCTCTTTCCTCTTCGTCTCATTGGCCAAGACAGTGCATGACTGGATCTATGCGTGGAGAGTGGCTATGACCCCCACGTCACGGCCCGACCATGCAGAGGTAGGTATTTCCTCTTCTTTTCCACTTCAGCGAAATCCCGGTTATCTCTCACGAGTACTAAGGGCTATAAATTATGCAAGCGTAACTAATTCTCTCTCTAATCAAACTTTGGAGTCCGCGCGGTTGAGGGGATCGACTAACGAGCAGGAGCAAAACGGTGAGTAGGGAGTTGGGCGATCCGACGGGCTGGTGCTGAGTATGCGGGGTTGACGTATGACCGCAAATGACTGTGGCCCACGGGCTAACCTGACTTGCAGACTTGGACTAAGCGGGGTGACGACTCTCTGGTGTTGATAGGTCTGAGGCGACGGACTGCCGACATCGGAGGAACGTAGAGAGATAGAGAGAGAGAGTGGTGTGTTGGAGTGATTTTTTTTTTAATGTTTTATCTGAACCCTCTGTATAATTTTGCCTTTGGCATGGACCATTTTTGCTTGCGGCTTTCTCAAATTTTCTTTTTCTCTCCCTCGTGTGTGGATGATGTATAAATTTGTCTCTTCATCTCTCACGTCTTTCCCGTTTTAGGAAGACAAGAGTATAAAGTTATTATTGCTTCGATCAACTAAATGGTTGTATTAAGAACTGTGAATGTCTTATCACTAAGTCGGGGATTATATAGCTGCATGAACTTGAACAACGATCCTCTTCTTCTCTCTTTTTTGCACATCCGTATGTCGAAATGAGTTATTTGATTAAATGTCTAGATCGTGTTGAATTGTGAATGATAGTGGTGTTGAAAATAGATGCATGCATAACTCGGATTCGTTAGAAATACGAGGCGAACCGTCTCCTAGCCTGTCGAAGACAGATCTTATGAAAACGTATATATGGACGACTAAGTAAGTTCCCACGTATATACGTGTCTGCGTGATCTACCTCCGGCTAGACTACATGGCAAGCGCGCATGGATCCAGATTCTCTCCCGAAAGATGGACATCGACATTCCGTTCTGGATGAATGACTGTGACTCTCTTAAAGACCCCGAGTACCGAATATACTAGGAAAAATAGCATCTTTCTCGACAGTCGAGGTTGAGACTTCTTCTTGCCTTTCTGTGTTTAAAACAAAACAATAGGGTGTGTGCATGGGATTTCCAACACGAATTCTGTTGTGATGTTCTATTTATAGAATTAGGGTTACGTATTTTAATGGTAGGTAAGTGTTAAGTGTCTATAGGCAAAATTAGGGTATATGGGTACAAATTAGGCCTTAACCACAACAAAATCACACGATGGATTCCCTTTAATCTCGCCCAATCCCAAATTAGGGTTTATCTTAAGAGATAAAACTCATATTAACAACTCAGATTAGCATAAACTCGCCATATACTTTCAGTGAAAGGAGAAGGATTGAATTAGTTCAGATTTCAAAAATTTTAAGAGAGGGGCAATTTTCATTTTCAAGTCGACCCTATCTCCCAGATTGACCTAAACCAAGCCCCCGTTGACCCTGTCTGAATGCCATTTGTCATCCGCTGACCAACTAGACTGAGCGATTTACGACCAGACACGACGCCCATTGATTTTGACCTTTTTGACCTTTTTTACCTCAAGACTGATTGACAAATCACAAAATAGGACAACGCTGACTGGAAACAGACTCCGCTAGTCCTAGATTGGTGAAAGGACAGACTCTGTTTGACAAAACCTATTTTTGGAATAAAATATGCAGTGCAGGTTCGAAAATACAAACTCGTTAATACTAGAAGTAGATGATAAGGTAAGATGATAAATTCAAGTAGCCTTATGGTAAACAAAGATAGGGTCAGTTGCAAAGTATGAAAACCCTAACCTAAACGTAGCATTTCGCCAGAAAGCCCCAATCTAGAGTTTGGTAGATAGTTTGGAACGAACTCACAAATAAAAAACTTGATTGAAGATTGCGACGCCAATCAAAATTTCATCCAAGGCCAGAAAATTTAGCATCGCCATGTAGAAATTTTGATCTCCATGGCCAGGCTGACTTAGGTAAGTCGACGCTCAACCCAGTTCTCACTTGGAGCATCAAATCAATCTTCCTTTTGATCTGCCTGTTGAAAACTCCTGAAAATGTTCTCCCTTGATGCTGAATTTCGTGGAGATTCAAGTTCACTCTCCTTGAGGGCTGATGATGCCCCTGCCACCGGTCAGTTAAGGCTAATTATACCCGAAACAAAACCGATGCTGAGCTGGTTTAGGGCTCGAAAACCCTGAATTGCAACAACAAGGTGTTTTAGAAAACCCTAAGCTGCTTGCCGCTCACTACAACTTTCTCCTGCACTTGTTCGTCCTCTTGACTCTCACTTCGACCTCCTCTCTCTCACACACCTCCTTTCACCTCCTTCCTCGGATGGCATAAATTGTTCTCCACCTCCAACGGTCTCCTGGAAGAAGATGACCAACAAGGTCCAACAATTTGCTGACAAGCAGTACCCATTTGCGGCTCCTATACCACCTCTTATGTGACTGATTGAAACACAATCCGACATAGCATCAACATGTTCCTATATATATGCCACAATGACAGCACGAATTTGAAGAGGGGATTTACACCAGATCAGATGAGATATTGTACAGTGGAAGTCCAACCTTAAAGAAAAATTCATAATCCCTTGTTTCTCCTCAGCTCAAGCAAAATCATAATGAACCTGAGAAATCAATTGAGAGTAAACCACCTTGGACAAACTCAAAACATAACTTCATCAAGCTTCTAGAGCGTTCCTTCTCCCTCCAGCATCATCCTCCACACCGCGGGCTATGGCGCCCAGCCCAAAACACAGCCCAACTATAATTCCTGTAGACCACTGACCCCCCCCTCTTGCTGTCTCAGCAGGAGCATCACCATTAAAAAAAA